GTTAATGCTAATACAAGACCTTCCTGACGTATGATGTTGTGTTGCTCCTGTAGGTGGTCGTGATGAAACGCTCTTTGGGTGTCGGTTATGCAGCCGTCGACAACCCTATCTTCTACAAGCCCAACACTGCGATGTTGCTAGGCGACGCCAAGAAGACTTGCGACGCTCTGCAAGCCAAGGTCCGCGAGACCCAGGAGCAGTGAGGCAGCTCTGCTCCCCGCAGAGACCTCCACAGAGAGCACACATGGAGCGAGGAAGGAATATGACAACGAGGCAAAGTTATTCAGCGTTAAGATCATCTTTGTCTGACTGTGACTCCGTCAGGTCAGCAAAGATGATCGTTAAGAGAAGTGAAAAATTGGTCAACCCTTCCTATGATCTGTAAATAAAAGAAACAGTTTACTGTAAAAAAAAAAATGCATGTGCAGAAGGAGCCAGGCAATGCAGATACTGTAGATTTCTGATTACAGCTCCCCCTGTGGTAATGCACTTAAATACAGATCTTTTCCTCTTTATCGCTTCTTTTATTTCCAGATATCGAAGGAAGGGTTCGTCAACAATGTGCATGTGTAGTCTCACAAACACCTGGTGGAGTGTCGTCTTACGTCGATCTAAAACAACAATCAGAAATGTAGATGCATTAAGATGTTAGATATGTTACAGTTCACTGCTAAGATATTTTTTAGGAAATCGTTAAAAGGATATTTTAGATAAATTGAAATGAGTAAACAGAGACATGAAGGTGAACCACCACAGAGGAATGAGAGAACTTAACGTTTAACATTTTCCCACACTGTAAAACGTCTCCGCCTTTTCCCCGAGTCTGTTTTTGTTGAAGTAAAGTAGTTAATTCTTTCTTCGATTGATCAATTTGCTCTTGTTAGACACCGTGTGGTCTCCTCTCAGCACCTTCCTTCTCTGGACAAGTGGAAGAAAAAAAAGCAGAATAGTGCAACATTTTTGTAAAGTTCTTTCAGTTCAAGTTTTATACTGTATTGGGAGATTTTTGTATTGGATCATAAAGTCATCATAACCTAGAAAAATGTCTATGCGATCACGTTTTAGGAGCCATAGCCAGTTGTAGAAATACAGTCATGCTATTTGCTTTTTTTCCTTTTCACTCGTGTGTCTTGTGGCCTCTAAACAGTCCCATGGATCCAAAACTTAAAAATCCATTCAAACCTCGTCTATCAAGCTCTTAACGCAATAAACCAAACAGATCTACGTTTGAGACGGTAGCTGTCCTGTAATAAGTATTCCTACACACACACACACACACACACACACACAGATGTACCTCTGATCGCTGAATGGATTTTACGTTTTGGAATCGTGTGTCCCCTTCATCCTGTGTGATTTCTGATAGTACAGTGCAGGTGATGCTCGCTGTCGGCCTTTGCGGTAGAGAAGTTTTTTTTTTTTCTTTTTAAGATGAATGAGATTAATCCACTCCGATGTTATTGCTCTTGATTGAAATGAAGGGTCACTGTTTGCAAAGTAGGGCCAGATGTTAAAAATGACTGTTGCATGACGTCTAAAACAACAATGCACCTATTTAAAAGCAAAAAATGAATTATTTGCTGTTCTTATCTGCGTATTTCAACATTTAGGTTGTCATTTCTTCATTCTCATTCATTAACATAAACTTGTGCCAATCCCTCCCCTTTTACTCTCAATCAGAAGAGATTCTACGGCACAAATGTAAAAGGTTTGGCTGCTGGATAACCACTTGAGTAGAAAGACTCCTTAGTCTACACCTGACCGTTCACAGCTCAACTAAAAACCCATCGAGTTTCATTTCTGGCTCAGGTTGAACCGCTGCCATCCTTTTTGTTGTCTTTGCCCTTTCTGAGTTTTTATGGTCATGAAGCATTAAATAAATTGGTGAGAATGTATCCTGGTGGATGATTTGAGGGAGAAGAGCCCATGTAAGAAGTACTGTACTGTAAGAAGTTAGTTATCTTGGGACCTGATACGTTGACCATGACAACTATCCTACCTCTCCATAAAACGACCAATCACATTTCACAGGACCTTCAGATCAGACCAATCACCTTTTCCTTAATCTGCCACAGGATGTGTAACGGACCAGTCGCCTTCCATCCACTCACCTTATGTCCTGAACCTGACCAACTGCCTTCTGTTTTCTGCTCACATTTTGAACCACCAGACCTCAGTTTGCTGTTTGTTGTGCTAGTGTAGAGCTGCAGATGTCATTAGTGCTCATGTAGGTTTCTTACTCTTACATGTCGAGTAACACAAACAACCGCAGTCATTAGGGACTATTAGACCGAGGAGTCGGCTTAATATTTGTAGCTTGTCGCCATTTTTGAGTGATTGATCAAATTAAGACGAATGGAAAATCTTGATACTTTTGCCCTAAACACCCCCATGTGCCCTTATCGCGTTTCTTCTTCTAAAGGAGAGTATTTTTGTAAAGAGGTGACGTATTTGTGCAGAGCAACAAAGGGTTTTTGAAGTTGTGCGATGTTTCAGTGCACCATGTTAAGGAGATAAAAAGATGAAATGTACTGTGAATGTGTTTTTCCCCCCTCTTTCGTTTATCATGGAACATTTTCATCCCTAATAAAACTGTATTTACACTAAATGTTGCTTGAAGGAGTCTTTTTTTTTTTTTTCACTGACAAATCTCTTAAAGATGCAAATGAATTCCCTCATGGTAAACAAGTTGATCTGCAGGCTTTTCCCTGAGGTCTACCACAGCTTTGATGGTAATGCTACCTGCCCAATTTTGTACGGCAGGGTCTGAAAACTCAAATATTTGCTGCAATTACCTGGATGATGGATCGTGAGGGGAAGGAGGTGTATCCACACTGGCTCGCACAGTTCATTTGCACAGTGCTGCTCAAAAGAGGGCAAACTAAATAACGTACACATATTGTGCAAAGAAGTTTAGCCTCAACAAAGTCAGTACTTTGATAGGTGAGTTTTCTACTGACAGGGGTGAACTGGTGCCAAAACTGCAGGTCCATTGGCCAGGAAAAATATGAAAAATATTTTAAACCCTAACTAAAATGGCACTCAGTGGAGCGTATCCCTCTGCCAAGGCTAAGCAGTCCTCTGAAACTGTCAAACCACACAAATGCACACTCATCGATACCAGCCCCCTAAATTTATTTATTTCATCAAGATCTAGGAATTATTCCCTGAGAATGTTAAAAATACTGTATCTCATAATGTTAAAGGAAGTGGATAAACCTTTGGATCCACACCCTGACGCGGATCACCACGGGATACCCAGTGTGGCTCATCCCTCACCCATACTGCGTCCTTTCCCAAAATCTTGTGGTAATCCGTCCAGGAGTTTTAGTGTAATCCTTCTAAATAACAAATGCAGAACAATTCAAGTTAACTAAGTATAACATGGTTTTTAAAGAAGATAATCAAACTTATTCTATAAGACGATCTCATAAAAATATACTGAATTACTCTTTGCCCTCCTGCAACCAGCGTGTCTCAAGACCTCGGCCTTGATGAGGGATGGTGAGAAGAAGGTGCTGTGCTCCATAACCCCAAAGTGTCCCCGTGCAACAGAATAAGATCGCCTGAGTCCACCATGAGGGCTGGGATAATGACCGAAACGTAAATATGAGTTTGTGCGACATTTTCACCCACAAGTGGCACTTGATTGCTATTCATCAGCAGGGGAGAGTGAACTAGAAACACTTAGGAGGGGAGTGGTGCCCACAGAGATGGAGCAGATTAGACCGTAGATAGATTTATGGAGATGGGGATTGCATGTGTGCGCCATGAGGGCGGATTCATCCTGTAACAAGTAGCACTCAGACAGCTGTTATCTGCTCTCAGGCCAGGAGCAGATCAGAGGAGAACTGTCACTCCCGCAGCAGAGGTGAGATGCAGCGATAGTGATAAAAAGATCGGCTGGAGAAATTACCACCAAGGATTTTATGTGTATGATCACTTATTGTGTGTGCAATCAGCCATCTAAAATTGTTGTCTTCTTGAAAACAAGTGATATCTAATCTAATGTTCCTCTTATTTCTGATAAATATACATGAAGAGGGTCTGAAGTACTGTCAAAGGTCATGTGTGTGTCAGTGGTGTGTGAGAGCATGAAGATCCATGATCTGATCTGTACTGAGGTGACAGCCTCCTCAGCTCAAGCTGCTCTATTGTCACACAGCCAGTATTTATCCAGATAACCAGCATGCTCCAGACACAATACACCTCCATCCCTCCTTCATACAAGCACAGTCAATCATTCCTGGAAAAACACAGTTTGTTTTGCCCGGCCTTGCATGCAATTTAATTATTTATAGCGAGAGTATGTTTTGCTGTTCTGGTTTCCTTCAGGTAAAAGTTGAATTATCACAAAATAAAAGTAAATCCTGCTTTTAAAACTTGAAGTCAGTGCAAGTACACAAGTGGTATTGACTTTTTATAGAAGTATCAAATGTAAAAGTTAAAATAAAGAAGGAACGATAAACTCAAAATTAAACTGATAAAAGTAAAACTGCTCAGTTTTGCTCACTGTCCCTGGTTGGTAATTATATTATATTATACGACTGAATAATAATAATAATAATACATTTATTCAAAGAATCCACAAAATAGGTAAAAGTAGTATAAAATAAAACAAATGGAAATATTGAATTTAGTCAATACACAAAATATTGTAAATACAGAATATGGAAATCATTTGTCATGAAGAGCCCTTCTTATATATTCAATAATAATAATAATACTGTTAATAAAAGGTTGAAAACAGAATGGAGATAAAAGTGAATAAATACATTTAGTAGTGTTAAATTTAGCAGCAGTTCTACTGAAAGTTAAAACAAACCAACAACAGAAATAATTCCTCTGAAGCTGAATCAGACTTCGGTCACGTCAGCAGCCGTTGCTCCGCCCACTCCTTCATTGCGCAGGTGACGCTGATTTGCCTGATAATTGAGCCAATTAGCAAAAAAGCTAACACAGCTGCTCTGATGTAGCATCGAGGGAAGAAGCTAATCCGGAAGTCCAGCGTCCACTGAATGACGTCTTCATGTGAGAAGAGCTGTTTGTGTTGTTTTGTGGATATCAGGTGTGGACCTCAAACACATCAGTTGTGTTCACTGCCATGTGTTTGCTAACAGTCGGCTAAAGATTCTCTCCACTGAGTTCACAATGCTGCTGGTGAGTTGTGTTTAGTCTTCAGACTGCTCACTGTCAGTACTGCTGCTGGTGAGTTGTGTTGATATTGTGTTTAGTCT